GAGGTGATACCACAAGTACTGATGCTCATTGAGACACCACGTGCAGGCAAATGCCAAAGGCCAAATTTGATTTTTCATCATGCAATTGTATTTAATGGATTACATATGAAATATATATATTTTTGTGCACACAAACATAGATGCAAGCAAATAGCAATACTGTGCAAGTAATGAAAACACTAGTGCAAGAAATGCAAGTGAGCGGATTTGGCCACTTGATACATTCGGTTGACTAGGGTGGGCGACCGGGGCTCACAACCAAAAGAGGTCAGTCAGACCGGGACGGCCGACTGTACTGAAATGATCAGTGGATCGAGCCTGAACGGTTGATCTGACCAGAGTGATTGGTTGATCGGGCTTGGGCGGCCAATCGAGCCGAAGTGAGCGGTCGATTGGTTTAGGGCAACTGATCGAGCCGACGTGAGAGGTCGATCGGGCCGAAGTGAGCGGTCGATTGGTTTAGGGCAACTGATCGAGCCGACGTGAGAGGTCGATCGGGCCGAAGTGAGCGGTTGATCGAGCTTGGGCGGCTGATTTAACCAGAGTGACATGGTGAAATGCTACATGCAAAACATCACAGCATAGCTTGCTAGAGAATGCATATGAACGTGCTCGATAGCAAGCTATATTCGTCGTAGCGCTGTCTCATAGGATTATGTATATGTAGCAAAGCTATCTCTGGTTTTGGCAAATGAGGTGAAGGATTTTCTTCTCATTTTTTTTTTGAACGAAAATCCTCCACGATTTGTACAACGGAATGGCCAAAGAGCTTTTTCATTCTACAAGCCTCAAATGCCCCAACCTCTCCATAGAAGGTTGAAGCCGCTCTAAACCGTGGGAAATTTAGATTTCGATCATAGGAGCACTCAAGGATTTGATGGGGTTTGATCCACGAAAAGGTTCCCTAACCAATCAGTTTCCTCTAACAACAAAAAAGAGCCTAACCTTAGTTTTTCTAACAACCAGACCTAGAGGCTTGCTAAGAATAGAAGCACAAGAGTTTTTAGTGTTTTCACCTTCGTGACGGTTGGAGAAGCATTCCCTTTGTCTGTTCTTTGCTCCTACCATGCGTCGGCGAAGCTAGCTTTCCCCTATTTTCCGAAGATGGAAGAAGCTTTCCCTTTTAAATGAGGTGCAATTTCTTCTCCTCCAAGAAGCTCCTTCCAAAGGCTTCCTCATTCTTTTCTCAAGAGGTTTGAGGAGAAAAGATCAAGAGAACCCTTAAAAATTAGGAAGAAGAAGGCCGAGAAGTTTGAAGGAGATGAAGTTTTTCTCTTCTTTTTCTCACAACTCCCTCACAACTTGCCTGCTCGAATACCAGTTGATCCCTCTTCTCCTCTCCATTTTCCCTCTCTAGTTCCTTTTTTTAGGCTCCAAAAGGGGTTATGATGGTGTTTTTTACTCTCCCCAAGCAAATCCCGAGTTATCCTGAGGAAATCCAGCAAAACAGAGCCTTGGGGGCTGAAATGAAGCATTATGAACAATTTTGTTTCCCAAGCGCATATGCGCCAGAGACTGGGTGCACGTTTCTGTTTGGAGCGATCCCTCGTTGATCTTGGCGCATATGCGCCAACTGAGGGTGCTTAAGCACCCCCTTCTCTAGTTATCGCTCTATAACAACAATCCTTCATGCTTGGGCGCATATGCGCCCATATTTGGTCTCATAGCCGCCCACACTAGTGTTAGGTGCTCATTTTTGGAGCGTATGCATTCTTTGGGTGGCGAATATGCACCATCCCATATATAAATTTTTTTTCCTTCTTTATTTTTTTCATTCTTCGCTGAGGCTCCCCGCAGACGATTTCTATGAACTCTCTGACCTCTGAATTAGGCGAAAGTCAACGCCTTGGGCCAGGTACGACCCGAGCAGTCTGAAACTCAATTTTACTTCCAGAAGTCTGTTTAAGGGTTTTTATTGATCTAAATGCTACATGAAACTTTGTTTTGCTAAAATACGACCCCGTAACTCAAAAATGAACACTTTGAAGGTTTTGATTTGGGTATTTTTTTGTCGACAAAAGAACTGAACCCCCCCGCACAGGTGGATCGCTCCGATTTTTTCAAAATGCATGTGGGAGAGTTTAATGACGACCCTTGATCATGAGAAGTTATGAATAGATGAAATATGGTCTTTAAACACTAGGATGGGCATTAAACATGTGCCGTGTCAGAGTTAACACCACCTCGCGACAATACCTCCTAGGTAGATTTGAATCGGTACCAATTCCGATTCCATGCTCGAGACATATATCAAAAGGTCCCATTAAATGTCTCGGTCGATGGGAGACTGAACACTATCTCATACCATTTATGTGGATGCCTCGTTCTATTAAATTAATGAGATCCATCCAGTCTCATTTTTCAAAAATTAAAATATTATTTTCAAGAAAATCAATACACATATATATATATATATATATATATATATATATAATATATATATATAATGTTACATTTAATCCGTAATAATTAAGCTTATGCCAACTCTATAAATTTAGAAATGTTAATTATTACTAATCATGTTGATGAACATGTTACATATAACACTAGAACAATGTTTAAATGCATGTGTTTGGTATAGTTTCAAATGACGATTTACAAATACATGTTTCATGTTACAATTAGGTCAACCGATTGTTAAACAAAATTGAATCGTATTTTCGTCTAGCTGTGTATGGGTAATCTAATCTAATTGTTTTTTCCTAGAACCCCAAAAAAAAAAATGGAAATTAAATTAAATTTTAATTTGTGCACTTTCAAAATTTTAGAACCTTTGTGTTATTTTATTTAATTCTATACATTTTTGCATTGAAAAAAAATATAATTCTTTAAAATTTAAAGTTTGATTTTTGAAAATAAAAAAATAATGGTTTCAAATTATAAAGTTTTAAAATTAAATTCAAAAGCATATTAATAATCAAAGCCAAGTTTTAAATCCTATTTAACTACATTTATTAAATAATTAAGAATAAAATGTCGATTTAAATTTCTAAATTTTTACTTAAAAATCAATGTAGTATAACATTTATTTTATTCTGAGGTCTCATATCCTTAAGAGGGTAAGCGATCATAGTTAATTACATCCTGATAGCTGTGGCTTTCGAGAATACTCTCTGTTAAAGTATCGGCTTATATCACGCAGGATTATAAGGTACGTGTCTTCTAGATTCATGTTTCAGGACCTGAAGTGATGGTTGGGTTTGAAAAAAAATTATTGGAAGTAAAAAGTTGGGACTTACAATCCAATGACGATGTGTCATGGAAAAGCACAGGAAGAGGGTGAGTCACCTATGAGAAAAAGGAATACACTAAGAATTAGAATTATGAATTTCTTGAAGAAGGGTGAATTGAGAGATTAGATTTGATTTTAAAAAGTTTGATTTAGGTGATTCACTTGAGCTGAAAATTTGAGTTGGTTGATTTTGATTTAAGTTGATTGATTTGAGTTAAAGACAATTTATTTTGAATAAAATTTGTTGGTTTACATATTTTTAGAAGATTGTTAAAATTTATTTGAGGAATGTTAAAGTTGATTAAGAATTTTTAATAAAGTTTGAAGTTATTAAAGTTTATTTGAAATCATCTCAAGAATAATTTAAGTTTTGAGTTGAAATTTAGAAGTTTTGAAAGTTTGTGTTTTAAAAAGTTTTTTGAAATTTTAAAGGTTTAAGATTTGAATTATTAATGTTAAAGTTCTTAAAATTTTAAAAGTTTTTCGAGTTTTAAATGTGACAAGAGCCTAAGAAAGTGCCAAGCAAGAGCACATTCAAGACCCATTATAGGAGCCCAATCAAAACGAAATGTTTGAATTTATATTTTAATTTTTAGGTTCTAATTTTAGTTTGTAGAATTTATGAATCTTCAAACTTGGTGACTTGTATGGGCTGGTCATAAAAAGAATAATTTAGGAAAGTGATTGGTACTTTCTCAATTAATGTCCACCTGTCTTTCCCTTAATAATTTTCAACTTTTTTTTCTTTGCCATTATAATCCTTATAAATAGGTTTTAAATGTAATGACTCGTAGCAGTTTCTGTATAAAATTTTTGAGTAAAACATTCTTTTTCTTTTGTTTGATGCTTTGTGATTTCAAGTGCATATGTTTTCATTGGTGAGATTAGATAGTTATCTTTACTCTATTTTAAAATTTAATTTGTTACTAGCTTAATTCTTGATACTTATTAATAGCATCCTCTCAGCATCCTTATAATTCTAAAATGTCATCCCCTTCTCAGCCCAACCTTTGATATCACTCTAATTAATGATCTACTTAGAAGCCGACCATAGAGCAAGCTAGATAAAACTAAAATCTTGTGGTCTTATCTACCCTTTGACACTATAAAAACTCTTTCAAATTTAATCATTTACTTCAGATCATAACTCTACATCCTAAGACAACTAACTTTAAATTACTTCCCTAAAGAGATATTCAAAATCAGCTCAAACTAGCCTAATCAAAACTAATCCTGACACTCCAATCATTATATTTGTAGAAAAACTCCAATTCATATGCGTAGATGTTAAGCTAAAGATTTCAGGCCTTTATCTTTCTTTAATTTCATAAGAAGTTTAGAAATTTTCTGAAGAAATTCAAAACCCTAAACTTATAAATTTAGTGGACAAATTCCCACAATATTATTAGTGCAATATCTAGAACAGGTGTTATGTAAGAATTGATGAAGAAATGAAGAAGAAAGATCACCATAGTCAGCAAATCAAGCTAGTTGAAGTAGAGGCTGTGGTCAGTCGAGAGAAAAAAAAGTGTGCCCGAGCAAGGAGAAAATATTCGGCCTGGATACCGCACGTTCGAAAGGTCAATCATCGGCGGCCACGTCGTCATACATATGTGAACGTCCAGACGGAATATTTTTCTCGAGACAGAGGTAGAATTGAGAGTTTTAGTTCTTTATTTCAACGTAAAACAAAAGGGCAACGCATATGTTACTTGAAAAATTTTTCTGACTCAATTTCAACTGGCAATTTAGTAGGAGTCTATACTTGAGCAATTAACCGTTTTTTTCAAACAGTAGCGTGGATTCTATAGCCTATACTTGAGCCTCATTTTGCTCCTTTGTCTCCTCTTCCTCACAAGTTAAAAGTTGTTGCAATGATATATATACTAAATCATCTCAACATGCAAGTAACTGTGCATGTCAGAGTACATTGCCAAACCAAGAAATTATAAAAAAACATCCACACAAATCAGAAGTTTAATGAAGCTAAGACTCCCCATCTGCTGCTTGATGTTCATTTCATCAAATATCCAAAAACACTGTTCAATACTTTTCATTGAACATGTAAGTAACTTGTCATTGTAACATCAATTCCAACCTTCAACGTTTGAACGTACTTGACCACCGTTCAACGACAATCGAGCCCGGCTCTGAAATCTCTCCGGCGTTGCTCCGACGGACTCCAGTTGCTGCCGGCGGAGCTGTTCATGAAACCACCTTATGAAATCCTCTGCCTCCTTATCAACCTTTCCTTCCTCCACCACCTCCTCACTCCCCACAAACGGCGAATCAGTCACCCTCAACTGCCGTACCCACGCCGGACTCCTCCCCAACCACCACATAGCTGCCGGCGAAGGCGACGGAGATGGAGTTAGCGTCGTCGACGATATGACTGACTCCATATCTGAAACCTCTGTGCTCAATACTTCGAACGCCTTTGCCATCATAGCTTCATCGAAGCTGTCGAACTCGACCTTCCGGCGGCCGCGTTTGTTTCTCCTTGCAGAGGGGTAGAAAGGGGTGTTGTTGCAGCTGAACTCTAAGGCGGCGCCGCCATTATGGTGGAAAGATATGAATTTGCTGAGTAGTTTTCCGGCGAGTTTTCCGCGCTTGAGGAGGAGATGGAGGTCCATCATCAGCTTTCTCTTTGAGATGCTGTTGCGAAGCATGTAATATAGTAGTCGGAAAATGTGGCATAGCCGCTTGGTTATTGTGGGGGAGGGGGTGGATTCCATTTGTTATTTTATGGACTTCTGTACAGATATTTTCTGTTTTTTACTCTCTTGTTTGGTTAATGAACGACAGATTTAGAGGTTTCTGGCCATGTTGGGGTGTTTGCTTTGGTTGGGGGCGAGTGGAAGGGGGGGAGTGTGGACGGCTATTTAAAGCAGTCATAAAAATGATCATATAAATGATAGCCCTCTATCAAGCTCATTTATCTTTCATCAACGTCCACTGCCGTATACTTTTGCATTAAAATATATCTGCATCAACATTGAGTGATGCAGGCTAATGATAAAGTCAGCAATTATGTAGTATGGTGAGATCCTGCTTTGGTGCAAAGTTAGCTGCATTTGTGTGAATCTGGATCTGTTTGCAGCTCCACCACACAATTAAAGGAAAGATTCCACCAGATGCAATATAAAAAGTTGCAAGTCCATCAGTTTGTTTACAAGTGGAAAAAATCTGGAGAGCAGAGAGCTGCTAGTGGACTAACTACAGTAAATAAAAGTTATCATAAAATGTTAACTAATATAAAGTGTGTTCTGATGTTTCTGGACACCAAAATTAACGGCTACTTTAGCATAGAATAATGGCATTAAACCCAATTGTGCTCGTTTCTGTCATTGCATTATAATTGTAAGTATCCTGAGTGCTTCATCCGCTTCTGCGTACCTTCATGGCCAAGGAAATGCGGTGGCCAATTTTATAGTAGTTCGCTATCCTATACTTAATTTGAAGTTTTCTTCTTTACTGAGCCGTTTATTTTTCGACAACGAAGTAGTGCTGCAAAGTTTTTTTTCTTTTTTGTGTAAATTATGAGATTAAAATATCCCTTTGTTATTTATGGAGCTAATTACATGCGGCAGACCGTATGTCCGAACGACAGTTTGGATACAGTCACGCCGTCGTGTGTCGCACGATGACCCATCTGGACTATCATCTGGACGTGTAGTCGTCACATGTAATATTTAGTTGAAATATACTTGGGCTCATCTATAATTTCTAGTGGATGAGGACAATAAAGGAAGGTCTATTTCTTTTATAATAAAATGTGGTTGTCCTAATTGTAACGAAGAAGATCACCTCCAAGAGGATATATATATACATATAATCTCTTACTTTTGCCAAGCTCATGCTAGGTAAATTGAGAAGGAAAATAGGGAAAAAACAATAATGCTTCTGTATATGACCCTTGTCGAGATCACCATTATGCTTCATTTGTCAAAATATAAGGATGGACCCTAGCAAAGTGCAATGACCGGTGACGGATTATCTGTCCGTTGTTTCGCTTGCCCAGCTCAAATCAGAGTAGCTGCGAAGAGTAAGGGAGTTTGACTGAATTGGAAGACCGAAATCTATTGTGCCTAATGTACCTTAAGAGGTGCTTGAGCTGGTGAAATTGGATGCATAGTGATTATTGGAGGTGTTGTGAGAGCAAGTTGGCAGCAAAATTGATCTTTGGCCTCGTGATGGTGAGGTATTATAGAGAGCTGATGAAGAGTCTATGGAGAGATGGGTTGGCGAACGGTTGTTGAAGCTCTGAATCGAGTGAACCATTGGATTGGGCTTTGGTTTGCATACTTCCATTCCTGCCTTGATGAGAATTTCAAAGGAATAGTGAGTTTGGTTTAGAAACAAACCATATTTGGTATGTAATACGTTGATGCCGAGGAATGCAGATAGCGATCCCAAGATCTTTATGCAGAATTTATTTTTAAGATCAACAATCAGATTGAATGTCGTTGGTGTTGTTAAAAATGACCAAAATATCATCCACATAGAGGAGAAGATAAATTTGAGTGGAGTTGTGGTGGTAGAGGAGAAGAGAGGGGTCAGCTAGGCTCTTAATGAAGCCTTTACTTTTTAAGGAAACCTTCAATTGGGTGTCGAAAATGCGCCCCCAACACTAGTGTGGGTGCCTATGCGCCCAAGCATAAATAATTGATGTTTTAGTGTGATAAACAAAGACAGAGACGCTGAAGTGTCAGTTAGAGCATATGCACCAAGATCAACCAGGGATCGCTACAAACTAAAGCAAGCAACTAGTCTCTGGCGCATATGCGTCTGGTAACCAAAATCACGTGGGATACTTCATTTCAGTCCCTAAGGCCCCATTTTTCAGGATTTCCTCGGGATAACTATGTATATAACCCTTGTCGAGATCGCCACTATGCTTCACTTGTCGAAATATAAGGGTGGAACCTAGGAAAGTGCAATGACCAATGACGGATTGTCTGTCTGTTGTTTCGCTTGCCCAACTCAAATCAGAGTAGCTGCGAAAAGTACAACAACAACAACAACAAAGCCTTAATCCCACTACGTGGGGTCGGCTACATGAATCCTTTTTCTCCATTGCGTCCTATTTAGTATCATATTTTCATTTAGTTCTAGTAAATTAAGATCATTTTTAATACAATAAGCCCAAGTCTTCCTAGGTCTACCTCTGCCTTTCTTAACACAAGTCGAATATAAAACATCTACTCTCCTAATGGGATCATCAGATGGTCGACGTTTAATGTGACCAAACCATCTAAGACGACTTTATCTAATTTTGTCTGTCACAGGAGCTACACCAACCCTATCACAAATATATTCATTCCGCATTTTGTCTATAGGTGTAAAGCCACTCATCCACCTAATCATTCTCATCTCGGCAACACTTAACTTATTATTATGCTCCTCTTTTAAAGGCCAACATTCAGCGCCATATAACATTGCAGGTCTCACTACCGTCTTATAAAATTTTCCTTTCAGTCTTAGCGGTACTTTTCTATCACACAAAAGGCTCGAAGCATTCCTCCACTTCAACCAACCAACTTGAAAAGGATTCATGTCATGATTTTTTTTTCGACAAGTTTTACGCTGGCTGTCGACTACCTAACACAACCCTCCACTTTTCGCATTTGGGTTTGGGACCGGCAACGACAGAGTAGCTGCGAAGAGGAAGGGAGCGAAATCTACTGTGCTTTTAATGTACCTTAAGAGGTGCTTGAGTTGGTGAAACTGGATGCATGGTGATTATTGGAGGTGTTGTGAGAGCAAGTTGGCAGCAAAATTGATCTTTGGCCTCGTGATGGTGAGGTATTATAGAGAGCTGTTGAAGAGTTTATAGAGAGATGGGTTGGTGAATGGTTGTTGAAGCTCTGGATTGAGTGAATTCTTAGATGCCATTGGATTGGGCATTGGTTTGCATACTTCCATTCTTTCCTTGATGAGAATTTCGAAGGATTATTGGGTTTTGTTTAGGAACAAACTTGTTTTGCTAGGTAATATGTTCATGATGGGAATGCAGATAGCGATCCCATGATCTTTATAGAGAATTTCTTTTTAAGATCAACAGTTAGATTGAATGTCGTTCGTGTTGTTAAAAATGACCAAAATATCATCCACATACAGGAGAAGATAAATTTGAGTGGAGTTGTGGTGGTAGAGGAAAAAAGAGGGGTCAGCTAGGCTCTTAATGAAGCCTTTACTTTTTAAGGAAACCTTTAATTTCTGAGGGTTCTCTTGAGTTTTTATCATCAAACCTCTTGAGAAAAGAGTGAGGAAGCCTTCAGAAGGAGCTTCTTTGAGGAAAAAAAAAACTTCATCTCTTTTGAAAGGGAGAGCTTCTTCCATCTTCGGACAAGAGGGGAAAGCTAGCTTTGCTAATGCATGGTAGTAGCAAGGAGCAAACAAAAAGAACGCTTCTCCAACTGTCATGAAGGTGAAAGCACTAAGAGCTCTTGCACTTCCAATATTAGCAAGCCTCTAAAGAAACTAAGATTAGGTTCTTTTTTGTGCTTAGAGGAAACTGATTTGTTAGGAACCTTTTCATGGATCAAACCCTAGCGAATCCTTGAGTGCTTCCCCCTAAATCCTTGGCATCTAAACCTATTATCAGAATCTGAGTTTCCAATAGTTTTGAGCGGCTTCAACTTTCTATGGGAGGTTGGGACATTTGGGTCTTGTAGAATGAAAAAGCTCTTTAGCCATTTCGTTCTACAAGTCATGGACGACTTTTCATTCAAAGCTCTTTAGCCATTTCGTTCTACAAGTCATGGACGATTTTTCATTCTTTTCATTCAAAAAAAAAAAAATCTGAAGAAATTCCCCCACCTCATTCACCAAAATTGGAGGTAGCCTTGCTATATATCCATAAATCAAAGCCTGGGAATTCTATGCGAGGGCAATAGGAAGAATCTAGCTTGTTATTGACCACGTTCATTTGCATTCTCTTGCATGTTATGTCATGATGTTTTGCATGTAGCATTTCACACATGTCACTCCGATTCAATAGGCTACCCAGACTTGATCAACTGCTCACTTCTGCTTGATCAACTGCCCAGGCCCAATCGAGCCGATGACCGCTCACTTTGGCTCGATCGGTCATCCCGACTCTATCGACCGCTCACTTCGGCTTGATCGGCTGCCCCAAACCGATCGACCACTCACTTTGGCTCAATCGGTTGCCCCAGCCCGATTGACCGTTCCGACTCGATTCGCCGATCATTTCAGTTTGATCGACCGTCTTGGCCCGACTAACCCCTTTTGGCTGTGAGACCCGGTCGACCATCCTAGTTGACCCAATGAGTCAAGTGGCCAAATCCACTCTCATGTTGCATTTCTTGCACTAGTATTTGTATTACTTGCATGACATTGTTATTTGACTTACATCTATGTTTGTCTGCACAAAAATATATATATTTGATATGTAATCCATTAAATACTATTGCATGATGACATGACGTCTCAATGAGCACCAGCACTTGCAGTATCACTGCATACATATGCCATCATATGTGGGTGGCTTAATAATTGCAAAGTCTTGGTGACTGGTGCCTAACAATGCTAGTCCGCTAGTGTGTGAATTTCTTAATCGGAGGACCTACCGCGTTACCTCTTATGGCATCACACTTGAATGTCATGAGCACTTCATATTGTTTGCTCATTATGGGTCACACTATGATGCATTTTGCTCGTTGGTTTGATAGCAACTTAGAATTGTTATGTGAGTGACCCCGTGTTGATCATGATGTTTTAACGAGTATTGTTTGCCGCGTAAATCACGACAAGCAATGTCAGTTATTGCATCAAGATCAACAAAATTATGACTGTGCTAAGATTCCAAAGAATCTAACATATGTCAGCTTGCATGCTACAGACCCACATTTAATGGTCTTAATTTTAAAAATAATAAAAAAATATATTTTCTCTTCTTATGATATTCATCCTATTTTAAAAACTACACAATTAGCAAAATTAGACCATATGTAAAGCCAATTATTTAAAAGTCATCCTATATTTAAAAGTCTTTTGGGTGACGTACTTTAGATCCCTTGGATCTTTAGGGCGGGTCGAAATCGGTGACCTCATCAAAGACATATGATAGCTCTTACCCCACCACTGCACATGCATTTAGATATTGTGACTAGGACTCTTTTTGTTAGATGCTGTGCTAGGCTAAGATTAGGAAGCTTAGGGTAGTCTTTTCGATTTTATGGCTATTGTTCTCTGTCAAATTGGTTGCATTAACCAAACAACTTTTTGCTTGCTGACTTTTTTTAGTTAATGGGTGTGGACTTGTGCGCTAGTATATTAGGGGCAGTTTTTTTGTGCAGGGAGTCATGCCTAAAAATAAATAAAAAAAAGAGGAGCAAATAATGATTTAATTGCTAACAATTTTCTGCATGTGCTACTTAGCTCTTCTCCCTCCAGACATGACTCATATGTGTTGCATGATATAACATATGCTAACCTCTTCAGTAAGTTGAGTTTTTTTTTTCTTTTGGATTTTCTAATGCATCTTTAGAGTCCTAAGGATCGAGGTTGTAGCAAAAATAAGTTATGGGGAAAGGTTCAAAGGAGCATGACGTAGTGAACCATGTGACAGGGGACCATGAGCAGCTGCTTGTGTCCCGCAACTTAATTTTGAATTTAATATTCATGTATATAATTAAGATCAGACATGTATATGCGGAGCCCAACTGCCTTTTTCTATTTTCTGGGATTTGTTCATGTATATAATTAAGATCAGACATGTATATGCGGATCCCAACTGCCTTTTTCTATTTTCTGGGATTTGTTGTCTACATAGCGACATCTGTCCTTTTATTCTTTTATTTGACTTGATTTACTATTGTGCAACATGCTTACCTTTACTCTTTTTTGGCTGGTGGTTTGTTTGGGCTCTTACGAAAAATGTAACCTAGATTTATTAAGAACCCTAAAATATAAATTTTCTATAAAAAATCTTAATAATAAAATAATCATGATAAATCAAAATTTAGGATTAAAATATTTCGGCTATTTAAAAACTCTGCACTTTACTTTTCTGCAAGATCTTCAAATCAATTTTTAAATGGGCTGCATAACATAAATATATCTCAAATCATCCCTAATAGGGCTTCCACATTTAGAAGTGATAGGTAACTGCATTATATTGCATGTCTCGAGGAGGAGCCCCCTTGCTCCTTCAATCGACTAAGTCAAGCATATGCTTTCTACAAAGGAGGTTGTCTAGCATGACTGTGGTGTTAGAGGCATCTTTGACCTAGGTAGGGAATAAGTTCTTTATGGGGCGGTTCCAACTATGTAGCTAGACCCCTCTTCTCTTTTCTTCTCCAGGGACATCTCTCATTTAATTGAAGGGTACAAGTCCCACCACCTACAAAATGTACCTCTTAGGTCATGGCAACAAGAGTTTCCTTATTTTGATCTTAGGAATACCAAGGTCTCCTAAATTTCAAAACACCATCACTAGTGTTAAGGGAATTACTTGAGCTAAAAATTTAAGTTGGTTGATTTTGATTTAAGTTAATTGATTTGAGTTAAAGACAGTTTATTTTGAATAAAATTTGTCAATTTACATATTATTTGAAGATTGTTAAAATTTGTTTGAGGGTTGTTAAAGTTATTAAAGTTTATTTGAAATTATCTCAAGTTTGTTTAAATTTTGAGGTTTTGTTGAAGTTTATTTTTAAATAATTGAAGTTTTGAGTTGAAATTTCGATGTATTGAAACTTTGAGTTTTAAAAAGGTTTTTGAAACTTTAAAGGTTCAAGATTGACGTATTATTGTTAAAGTTTTTAAATTTTTAAAAGTATTACGAGAGCCTAAGAAAGCGCCCACGCAAGAGTACGTTCAAGACCCATCGTAGGATCCCAATCAAAACGAAATGCTTAAATTTATATTTTAATTTTTAGGTTCTAATTTTAGTTTGTAGAATATATGAATATTCAAACTTGGTGACTTGTATGGGCTGGTCATAAAAAAATAATTTAGAAAAGTGATTGGCACTTTCTCAATTAATGCCCACCTAACTTTCCCTTCATAATTTTCTACCTTTTTTTCTTCTTTATCATTATAATCCATACAATTAAGGCTTACATGTAGTGCCTTATAGTAGTTTTTTATAAAATTTTTGAGTGAAACATTCTTTTTCTTCTGTTTCATGCTTCGTGGTTTCAAATGTATATATTTTCATTAGCGAGATTAGGTAGTTATCTTTGCTCTTATTATAAATTCATTTTGTTACAAGCTTAAGTCATGATACTTGCTAATAACATTCTCTCACCATCTTTATAATCTAATTTCAGCAAAGTTTAGAAAATTTCTTCAGAAATTCAGAACCCTAAATTTATAAATCTAGTGGACTAATTCCCCCAATATTATCAGTACAGTATCTAGAACAGGTTTTATGTAAGAATTCATGCAGAAATGAAGTAGAAAGATCACCATAGTCAACATATCAAGCTAGATGGGGTAGGGGCTTGATGTTCATTTCATCAAGTATTCAAAGACAATGATCAATACTTTTCATTGTAACATGGAAGTAACTTGTCTTTGTAACATCAACTCCAACCTCCAACGTTTGAACGCGCTCGACCACCGTTCGCCGGCAAGCGAGATCGGCTCTGAAGCAACTCCGGAGTCGCTCCGGCGGACTCCACTTGCTGCCGACGGAGCTGTTCATGAAACCACCTGATGAAGTCCTCAGCCTCCTCATCAACCTTTCCTTCCTCCACCACCTCCTCACTCCCCACAAACGGCGAATCAGTCACCCTCAACTGCCGTACCCACGCCGGACTCCTCCCCAACCACCACATAGCTGGCGACGGCGACGGCGATGGCGATATGACGGTCTCCGTGTCGGAAACCTCTGTACTCAATACTTCGAACGCCTTCGCCATCATAGCTTCGTCGAAGCTGTCGAACTCGACCTTCCGGCGGCGGCGTTTGTTTCTCCTAGCAGTGGCGTAGAAAGGAGTGTTGTTGCAGTTGAATTCTAAGGCGCCGCCGCCGCCGCCTTGGTGGAAAGAGATGAACTTGCTGAGGGCTTTTCCGGCGAGTTTTCCGCGCTGGAGGAGGAGATGAAGGTCCATCATCAGCTTTCTTTTTGAGATGCTGTTGCGAAGCATGTAATATAGTAGTCGGATAATGTGGCACAGCCGCTTGGTTATTGTGTGGGAGGGGGTGGACACCATTTGTTATTTTCTGGGCTTTTCTGCAGGTTTTGTCTGCTTTTTAGTCTGTAGTTTGGTTGAGGAGGGAGAGATTTAGAGGGTTGTCGCCATGTTTGGGCGCTTGCTTTGGTTGGGGGCGAGTGGAAGGGGGGAGTGTGGACGGCTATTTAAAGCGGATGGGGAAGGCTGATGACATGAGGGAGATGATGCAATTATTGATTTTGAGACTACAGTTGTCCACAGCATGAGGAAGAAAATGTAGTCTCACATTTTTGTTCGGATTGGAGTCTTGAGTCGAAATAAACGTGTTAAGAGTTGTGAGTTGAAATTTTGTATTGAATATTTTTTTCGGAGCTGATTTGAAGTCGCATATCGTGACCTGTTGGTAGAGCAGTTTCTCTGAAAGTCGTAAGTCCTCTAAGGTCACGGGTTCAAATCCCCATGTGTGTAGGGTGTGGTATTCAATATTTAACACACCTATGTAGGGGTGTAAACATACTGAACACGAACTAATAGATCTTGTGTTCGTGTTCGGTTCGTTTGAAATTTAGTTTGTTTGAAATAAAATCGTATTCGATAAAATTGTATCCGAGAAGTCACTGTTCGTGTTTGTTTCTTAATGAACGAGCCGAACACGAGTTGTACGAGACCGACGAGCAGTTTGACATCCCTAATATTAATTTGTATAAATAATTTATTATATTCATTATAGAACTTAATTATATAAATATATAATATTTATATATTAGTATATTACTAATATAGTATATTAATATATTATTATTATTATTAATTCATTATATATTATAATTTATAAAATTTAATTTTTTAAAATATCATAAATTTTTTGTATATAATTTTTTTAAATTATTTGATATTTCGAACAATAACGATTCAAACACGAAACACATCAATGTTCGTGTTTGGTTCATTTAATTAACCGAACAAAAAAAAAATGTTCACGTTCGTCTCGTTTACTTATCGAATTAATCAAACACGAACTCATTGACGAAACAAACACGAACTGTTCACGAACAACGAGCTTTTTTGACAGTCATACACCTAAACTGGAGCTCCTGTAATAGCCTTCCTTTTATACATGTAGTGTTAAGTAAAAATGAATATAAAGAGTCAAGAGTCAATTTTGAGTTGGAACAGATCCAAATAATTTAATTTGAGTCAGATAGTTTCAGTTTTGAGCCAAATCGAACCGATTCTGAGCTGAATTAGATCCAAATAACTCAATTTGAGCCAGCTCATTTTGAATTTGAGCCGGATCGTGCTCGATTCAATCTCAAGCTTGCTCGGCTCGAAATCGAATATAACGAGCCTGGCACGAAATTTTTAGATAACATAAAATTAATGTACTGATGTGCACAACTCATACACAAATCACAGAATTGGTTGAGCTTTGCATAGAAGTTTCAGTTGGCCTACATCAACTTAGGTCGGATTTTCTACACCTAAATTAACAGTAAGCTCTTTTTCTTCATTAAGATTAACAGTATGGTGTGATTAGCTTATCTTAATAGTGTAATTTATTTCGGGGGTTAGGAATTAAATTCAATTCATAACAAATTTAAAAAGGGAGTTAGTGAGTTAAGCCGGCTCGATTTTGGCTTGATAAGCGCCTAGCACGAGCTAGCCCCAACTCGACTTTAAAAAAATATTAATATAAAATATACTCAAAATATATTAAATTTGAAATGTGTTTTTTTAAATATTAAAAATGTTTAATATTTTGTATCTTTAATCAAGTGATTTCTTATTATTTCTCTGCTCATTATATGTATTATTTTATTATAATAATATAGTAAGTTAATATTGGTTTTTCTCTTTTAAGATAAATAAGCCGTCTTGTGTGTAAGCTTAAACTCGTAGACTTGAGTTCGAACTCATAAGTCGTAAAATTAATCAAGCTAAAACTCAAGCCGAGAGTGGGTTGAGCTCGACTCGACTCGTTTACACCCCTAGACTTGCGTTAAATCAACATTACCATTAACATTTTCATGGTAGAATTATGTCTATAATTTAAAATATTATTATATTGCTTTCAAATAATAGACTAAAAATCACGTTGTTAGAAGCAAATTTTTTAATTAAATTAGTATTAATATTTTATCATGTCATTAAATGGCATTTGTTTTTTTTAAAAAAGAGTATGATTATAATATAGAAAATAGGTAAATGTTGTTTAATTTAATCATAATTTAAAAGATGTAAATCAAATTTCGCAATATTGTCCTCCAATGGCTGAAATAATAAATAATGGAAAAGGAACGTAGGGTGATAAAGATGGTCAAAAGAAAGATAGGAGTTGGTATTTTTCAACATTTATCAATTGGTGATAGCAATTTGGAGACAACCGATCTATTTGGTGCGGCGGTGCGGTACAGTTTTGTTTGTTTGAGTAAACTGCATTTTGACAGTTTTTTTAAAAACTGCCGCTGAAATCTTCGTTCTCCCACCTGTCTTGGCTAGGTGTGGTGGCGGCTTTCTAGATGCGGTCTGATTTATTCAAAAAATAAAAAAATATATATATAATAGATACCATAATTTTTTTAGCATCAGATTATTTTTAGCAACTTCACAACTGTTTTTTGATAAGTTGTGTCTGCCCCTGCCCCCAAACAGACCCTACAACGGGATGACAATATTAACACAATAATCATTAGTTAATGCCAATCAAGTGATACTTTGATGATGGATGCTAGGTGATGACAGATGGTGAATGATGGCAATGAAAGCGAAAGCGATGAGATGATTGCCATTGTTTTACTGGTCATCAACAACAATTATTGGACAAGGCTATAAAATTCTATAGTAGTCTTTGCTCTCTTAAACTTTGGTTTCTCATAATGTGATTAATAAGAGTCTATTTATAGCTTTATGTAGTACCAATTGAAAGTTTTTAACAAAATTATCATAAACTCTATTGGTTATCGAATAGTGATTCCCTCGATCATTAATGTTGTTTTAGATCTTCAATTGACAATGGAATTAGACATGATTGATCTTTGAACTATTGTACTTTTGTCATAAGCATACTCTTATTGGCTAGATGCATGCAATATTTAGAGAGCATTTGGTTTATCAAAAGGTAAATTAAGTTTATATTTTAAACATTTGATTTGGACATATTTAGACTTAAATTAGAATTTTTTTGGTTGCTCAACTTGTATCCTAAAAATATTAGTTTTTATTATAAGCTTATTGGAATCATTATTCAGATTATCTAAACTTTAAATTTTCAAAATATGCTATTTCAAAAATTTTTTTTTTTTTTTGTAACGTTTGATTTACCCAAATTATTTGAAATTGAATCAACTCTTAAGAAAAAATTAGAAGAATTTATAATTTTTAAAATTTTTTGAAGCATGTTTATGTGGAATAAGTGGTGTTATGGACCACATAAAAACTAAAACTTTTTATGTTTTAAGCGAAATTACGAATAATATATCATTTGAAAGAAAATATTGGAAAATGAATCTAATCAAGACCTAAGGCCTTCAAAACTTGGGGCCTATGTTATTAGAGATCTTCCCTCGATTATTTTTAGGTAGAAAATTATTTATTTTATTTTAGATTGGGATTTGCTTTTGAATTGGAATGTATTATTTTATTAGAATAATGAGATTTATAATGGCAAAACACAAGATTGGGGAGATGCCCAAGATATGAGGACTTATGTCATAGAGAAGGGAACAAGCTACCTCAAACCCTATAACTAAATTAGGCACTTTCATTTTGAGTATGAAGTTGGAACCTATTATAATAAAATATAGTTAAACTAAAAAAATTCCCATGCACTAATAGATGAATCAAACTCTACTCTTTTAAATTTAAAACCTTACATGGAAAGCATAGTCAGTTAACCAACATGTTGTACTTAAAATCCATGAGTATATGGAAATGAGATAGACTAAGGGTATGTTTGGGGCAGCTGTAGCTTATTGAATAATCTGCTGATACACTAGGTGCGGCTATTGCAAATTTTTATTTTTTTAGAAAAGTCAGACTGTTGTCAATAAGCTGCCACCGCACCTAGATAGGTGCGGTGTGAAAACGTTGTTTCTACGTTTTGAAAACGCTTAAACTGCCAAAACACAATTTACCAAATAGGCCAGATGCGTTTTCAAAATGCCACCGCACCTTGTTTCTACGTTTTGAAAACGCTTAAACTGCCAAAATGCAGTTTACCAAATAGGCCAGATGCGTTTTCAAAATGCCACCGCACCTAATAAGCTACCCCAAACGGGCCCTAAGCTTGTTGTTTAAATTTTGGAAGAAGCTGTTGGAATTCCCAATGGACCCTATAGATCAAGTGATTTGAAGATTTTGGTATGCAATGATTTAGCTTATGTAATATTTAATAGCCTAATTATTTTTATTTAATCAAACTTTGATTTGATTCAAGCTTTGGCGCGCGCACGCGCATACACACACACATGTATATTGATTTTGCAAAGTGCTACGAGGCAATAATTCTTTTTTTCTTGTCAACTTTTCCATGAATGGCAGCCATCGTCATTAGTAATATTCCATTATGTCTAATGGGTGAAGTGCTGAAAAATAATTGATAAATCAATATAAAATTACATATGGATGTTCTATTCAATTTTATTAGTTGTTCTTCCTATGGGAATTTAATTTAATTTAGTTAAATATTTTTTATTTATATTTTATGTTGATTGCATTGGGTAAAAAAAATATTTTTATTCAAGGAGCCTAGATATAAAACCAAGATTTGTTCATGCTAAAGCATAGAAAACAATTGAGGAAAAAATAAGGGTTCTAATGCATAAGTAATATAAATACATCAATAAACACATAAAAATATAATAAAATGATAAAAAGTTGATGTTGTGGCAAAGTGTCCTAATACACCTTAGATGAAAAGTAAAATGAGTGATCAAGCTCTACCCTTTTATAGCTCTGTTCTTGAATTATAAGTTTTCAAGACCATTTAGATATGACACTTAGTCCATGAGATCATTATACTTTGGTGCAAATTGCTGGTCTTAGGCACTTAGGTGACTGGTTCTAGCATCTCAGCACCAAAATGAGCGTCATGTCACCAACTCCTGCCAAATCATGTCATTTTATCCCTAACTTACTTGAAGTGATTCAACTTAGTTGTACACATTT